AAAAAGTGAACTATTATCAAAACGTGCTTGGTTCATCTAAGCATTTGCAATACCAAGAAAGAAGCGCTAAAGACTTTTTATGTAAAAAGACAAAAAATACGGATAGTTAACCAATTTATATCCCAAAGTGTCAGACAAGTGTGTTTATTTCGGTAATATGGCATGTTAAGGGATGGATAAGATACTTTAACAAAAAGATTTTGAGTATAATCCTTGATTCAATGATCGATGTTATTCTAGAATTCGACGGCAATTGAACACTAGCAGCAAAAATGCCTTTTATTTTGTGAATGTTTCGCTGTTATATAATAACGAATTGTTATAAATTGGTTATGTTCACTAAGAGCCATTTAACTATCTCCTTATACAATGACACCTGCACAAATCTACTTTTCTTATAACTTGGCTTTCGTATGTAGAAATTGTAATCAGAAATAAGACTTTCCAATGCAACATCAAAATAACTTAATTAGTAATAACTCGTCGTCTGATAAAAAGTCACATTTACAACCGATTTTTTGTACATTTATATTTTTTATTCCACATAACGGTCATTCCACTCCACCTATCGTTCTAATCGTACTTTTCTCATCATTTCCTTCTCTCTTATAGCCCTTATAGCCACCACCCTTCAGATGCAAATCTCCAATAATCACTTCTTCAATCCGATCAAACTCAAACATTCCATAAAACAGGTTACAAAACGCAATGTGAATGAAACTTCCGTATCAAATGTTAAGTTCCCGAAAATCGATGAGTATTACGTTAGAAAAAGAGATAACAGCAGCATCGCAGATTGCGAGTTGAGAGGATGGGTGTCCTCATTTACAAATCATTCAAAATATGCGTTCGTAGTTCTTGTGGGAGACAGTCTACCGAATTACGATAAATTTGTTGTTGAAAAGAAGAACAGAAAAAATAACCGTAGATAGATCAAGGCTTTATTTAGAATTTTTTATTAAACACACTGATTGGACAATTCGGTGTGGCCACCCGTGACATTTCTCAGATCGGTTAACTCACCAACCATAAAATGCCTGTGTATTCAACTACGGGTCAAACATTATCTTCGGTTTGATCGTATTTTCTATGATCGAGCGTATGATGCTGGCTTGTATGATAGGTCAAACATATACAGCAATTTTTGTCTAATAAGGCGTTTAACAGTTCAACCATCTTTTTAATCTTTTCCCAGCACCGTCCCTCAGCCTTTTTTATAAAACGCTTTGTTTTACTACCACGAATTCATCCCATTCATTGCAGACGTGCAGTTCGATATTTTGAAATACTTTCACGGTTTGTTAGGTAACCACAAACTGAAAGTAAACATTTCAATTTCTTATTTCGCACCACGGCAAGGCCGAACTTTCGTCATTTTTTACAGAGAATAGTTTTGATTGTCACAAATTCACCGATACAAAAAAATTTATTCTACAGAAATTGTGCATACAGTGGTATTTGACAACAGTGCTAGTAGATAATGAACCATTTTGTGCATTAGAAGCACACATCCTAGCAATACGTACCGTAGCACGCACATCGCCAATATGTGTACGGCTCGTACTCACGCACACTCATAAATCACTCTTTGTCTAGGCAACCCCTTTCATGGTCGATAATTCCGACAAATGTACGATATGTTTGAACACATACACCCTGACAGATGCACACAGACCAACATCACTCGAATGCGGTCACCTTTTTGGCAATTCTTGCATAAGAAAATGGTTTAACAAGCAAAAAAGCGCCCTTTGCCCGACATGCACCAAAACGTGCCGATTGCGCAATTTGCGCCCGATTTACGCCACACAAATAATTGCGTGCGAAAATGATGGAAGTGTGGAGCGCATTATTGCTCTACAGGAAGAGAGAAATAGGATGGAAATGGAAAACGTGAGATTGATGACACTCATAGAGCTGTTGCAAAAGGAATTGAAGAAAGGAGCTTCGTCCAAAAAGAATGAACGTGCAGATGTCGTTGCGTATAGGTTTATAAGGAGGTGCCCGTTCGTACTAAAGGATAAGAACATTTTTGTTGAGTATGAGCAGTGCGAGAATGCGGTTCTGATGACGTTTTGCAATGAGCAGGCGTTTGGACTGAAAAAAATCGATGGAATGGACATGGCAAGTGTGGAAATAGTGTTTCAGGTGAAATATAAGGAACTGGCTGCATTGACCCGGCAGGACAGTTCCACGTGCGCTGATAAAAGGACCGTTCGCATAAAAGACTTGAAGGTGTCCCCATTCAATGACAGTACCGTAATTCTCTGCTACGAGAACACCGTTAAAATGGTAAATACCGCCAACAATTCAGTTCTCATGAGCCTATCGCTACAAGAAGAGATAACAAGCCTAACATACGATCATACAGACAGAAACGTAATATTTGCAGGTGATGTCAAGGGATACGTGTACCGCATAGACCTGACGGGCGATATCTCAAGGACACAAATAGGTGACAGTGCCATTCATTCGATGCACAAGATAAGCAGCGTTGTGTACTGCGGATGTGTCAACGGGGTGTACGTGTACGACCGCAGGATAGAAAAGTACGAAATGCTCACCATTACGAATTTGACGGGTGATGACAGAGGTATCCTGGTCACGGTAAGAGACAGGAGCACAATGGTGATGCATTTACTGATAGAGAACAATACTAAAATGGCAGAGGAACATGGAAACACCGATGATTACATCTTTAACAAGCATTTTTTTAATTTTAAAGAGACGAAGCGGTTGAGAGATCGTGTCTGTGATGGTAATATGTTCGTGATTAATAACGAAAAGAAAGCGGTAATGGTGTACGACATAGTAGGGAATATCAGAAAGATACTTTGGTGCGGTGAGATAATTACGGGGTTCTGTATTGGAGTGGACAAGATCTACATTCTAACATGCAAAGGGTTTATGATTTATGGAGTGTAACTTTTCTGTTCACCGGTCACATTTTAGATCACGGCTGTGATGAGGCTCATTTACCATGAAAAGGGAGCATTTGCCGTAGAAAATGCGGATTACATCCAATGGGACTCACAATGAGGATTGCTCGTTCGCACAGCATTCTGTACGTAACACCGATAGAAAAGGTAATATTAATAGACATGTAGATGAGGTGAAGGTTATCTCATCTTACACCAACGAGGATTTGTCACTTAACGTGTCAGCTGTTGGCGAGTGCACGACCAATCGATAAAAAATGAAACGATACACAACACGGTCTCTCGTCAAGCACAAGTAAGAAGATAACGAAAAAAAGATGTGATATCCTGAACGTGTGTGATGATATAACTCACAATTTTTGAATTTATTGTGATATAAAAGAGAATATAACGAAAGTATCAGGAAATCGCTCTGTAATCGGACAATTCTGCTACAAATACCAATGCGTTCAACTCACTCCGCTGAATAGGACGTTTCTTAGCACAAACTCATATTTCACCATGTTTTGATGGTGGCTGAGTATCCAGACAATTGTTTTTGCTCAGCATTCAAGAACTGCGAAACTGTGCAAAAATGGTGTGCATCGATTTTGCCAGTGGAATCGCTCCATACATGCGTGAAATGAATGTTTGTGATGTAGAGGTTATCTTGAAGGACATACGAGTTGGTATGTTAAATGCATCTGCGCACTGAATTGTTATGTGGTTTGCACGTGAGTTCACAACTACGGAATATGCGGTCGTAACCTTTCTTCATACACAGAACCGGTAATAGCAATGAACCTGTCTTCATGGTTAATTGCAAGCGGTACTCTTTCCACAGCAATAATGAGCAGATAAAGAGGACAAAGCGTGATGTAATGGTCATCACACAGCCACGTACAGGGTAAAATACCCTCCTCGTATAAAATCGTTGTAAATGGTACCGATTTGAAGGTCCAACAACAAATAGATAATTAAACACACCTCACTGCCAGCACATGGCATAGTAACACATTCTTTCTGTTAATTTGTGCTTAGCCATTTGTTGCGCTGTGCTACGGCTTGAGTCTTTGCATATGCGCTGTGCTTAGCATATAGAAATATGTTAGCATGTTTATTTTAACATTTCATGGCAAATCTACAATCTCTGGAGACACAGCCCTCACATTGTGTATAAACCTGTGTTTTTTCTCGTTACCTGATCGCATTCCCACATCTATCATTTCAGTTCGTTGCCTTAATTGAAGGCAAGAAGAAATATTCACTGTAATTACGACTTGCTCATATCACCACGTCCTAAACAACAGATTTTGTACTCACCCTGAAGGCGGCATTTGATACCCAGGACTTCCACAAACAACCAATCACACACGACCTTGTTTGCCGGACTGCACTCCAACATTCATAGCCAATACTAACCAGCTCAGTCCTTGAAGTGCCGTTTAGAACGATATATCATTGGTCAACGCCTGGAACTTGTCATAAATGTACGTCCTAAACTTCCTAACACTCGTATGCACCAGTGTTCGTATGTGCACTTTGAGCTCGGCATCGCTCAAATGGAACTTGAACCGTGCTATCAAATTGTCGATCGCATATTCTGTAAAACACGGCAGCTGCGATTGTTCGAATGATGCAGCCATTAAAACGATCTCTTTAGACCTTCTTCTCAGCGCAAAGAATCCTTTTATCATCAAGCTTATGTAATCATCCATGTGGTCGTTCAGCAGCTCTATAATTTCCTCTGTTATTTTTAGCGGTACCTCAAGGTTCAATCCACCGGGAGAGATGTCGAACATAAAACCAAAGTCAATGTGTATCATTTGTCCCTTGCCATTTATCATTATGTTGCCGTTGTGCCTGTCCTTGACATTCAGGAAGTAGCTGACGAGCGAATAACCAACAAAGCTTAAGATAAAGTTTCTTTGCGCGTCCTGATATTCCTTTCCCTCTTTAAAACCGAATTTTAAGCCGAAATACTCACTTAGATTATTAATCCGTTCTCTTCCCATCTGGTCCCTGCTTATCGCGTCTGTTATAACTTCTATTATTCCACACTCGTAATCCGTGCTGATCACTCTGTAAGGATACAGGAAGATGGGCAGATGACTCTCCTTGAAAATGCTCAAGAATAGTTGAATCAGTTGTAAGGCCAATTGATCCTGTCTGCAGTCATCACCAGCCTTGAATATCAGGTTCACATTCTTTTGCACTCCATCCTTCTCCACGACAAATGTGGCCATAAAAGGCACCTTGGCATGACTTTGAAGCACTCTACTGCTGTTTTGTTCGATTCCCAGCACTTTATACCCGTGCAACGGCAAAATAACGTTCCTGCCAACCGCAACCTCATTAAGCAGTTCATCCAGCATTTTTTTCTTGTCAAACCTATCCAAATTTTTAAATTTGATCATTTTAGAGCTTATTCGTGTCAAATCATCCAAGAATTTGACGGTATCCTTGAAATCCTTGGCATTACAAATCTTTTCCAACAATTTGCCGACTCTTCCGCTATTCTTAAAGTTGGCCCGTATGTTGAAATACACCAGCATGCTTAAGTAGTCATCTTTCTCTATCAACTCCAGTATTTTACCCGCAGTCACATCGAAACATTTACTAATTCTCAGTAATTGCACCATCTGCGGCACATAAAAAGGATCTATGCTCTGCAATCTATCCATGCCATCGTTGACACTGCCATCAAACACTCGAATGGCTGTGAATATGTCGATGCTGTCGTGCAAATTCAAAATATAGCCCTTGTAGGTCAACGCGCCTGCCAACCTTTCCGAAGTCATATGCAGGTTATTGATCAGGTAAAACGTGTTGTAAACAAATTCTTTTTTGCTTGCTGGCAATTTCCTCAGAGACAGATCTGATTCGACGGTGTCACCACTCACACAATTAAAAGCAGAGAAAAAGTAAAACTTGAAAAAGTCATCCGTAATGTCTGCCAGTTCCGCGTAAATATCGATGCTATAATCAACATGATCTATCGCTCGCTCTAATAAATCATCTACTATCGGTTCATGTATCTTCAGTATTTTGTAGATCTTCAGTATCACGTACAGCAGGTAAAGATCAAATTTTTCGTCGATTGTTATGAGCAGGAAGTTGATGGCCGAGCCAACCACGTTGGCATTCCTCTGGTTCACGTACACAAGATCGATGAAAAAGTCGTATTTCCCTGCACCCGTGGGGTGTATACTGCAGGTAATTGTGCTGCCACGTGTTGAGCTGCTACACAGGCATTTATTAGCATGGATGCTTGTGTTATCCTCAAATTTTCTGTCCACTTGGTGTTCATCAAACGAATTTGTGCCTCCTTGACCGGGTTTCTCCGCAACAAAGTTTAACAAATCACCATGAATATCCCGCAGATCCTTTCTTATCTGCTCAACGCTGCATGTCCCATCCTCTTTTATCGAATGGAAGGAACCGCTGGTAAAGAACGAGGAACAGCTTTCGATCTTTTGCACGTTTCTGGGCACATTGGTCGGAAAACTGGATATGAATTCCATTATCTTTTCGTTGATCCGCAGTGTGTGCTTCAAATTACAGCACAAGCTAAAATTGTAAAATATCGGGAAGTTGCTGTTCAAAACAAGGTAAGTGTAGTAATACGGTGAGGTGATACGCAGCGTGTACATGATTTTTTGATACAGAAAGGTGTACTTGGACTCGCGCTCTATTATTTGCAACCAATTTCTATGAAAATATTTGTCGTAGAACAAACCGAAAAGAACAAGGCTGTTCGTGTTGGATATCATCCGTGCTTGATCATCACTTATGTAGGAAAAATACTCGCTTACACAGTCCACTGCGCACTGCTGTGCTTGATTATTGCCCATTAAAGTTTTTCTTCTGTTCTCACGGCTTAATAATGTTATGCTTTTCTTTAGCTTCGCTTGCTGCGTGCTTAGTGCACTATTCCTGTCACTTGATGATGCTGAGCCTTCATCCTCCTCGCCTAGAACCTCAGTGCAAAGGTTGTCCTTCAGAAGAATGTCCAGGATTTCCATTATTATCGTGTCCGTGGACGTGTAGTAGTTCTCTATGGCTAGTTGAAGCAGTTTATCGACATATTCCTCTTTAAAAGCGCTTCTCAGTTTCACATCCCGGTGTATCTTCTTAAAAACCTCAACCACATCGTTGCTAAGCGTCCTCTCATCCTTCAAATACTCAAGGACACCCGTGTAATTAAAATTGTTCAGTTTGAGCTTCTCTGCGTGATAAATCAATGCATGGTTGCTCTCGATAAACAACGCAGGCATCTTCAGCAGGAATGGCATCATCAGCCTTTCGAAGGATCCCTTGTAGTCATACATGAAGCAGTCCCTCCTGCACATAATTTCGTGCACGAAAAGGTACACCTCGGGTAAACATGCGTGTGATTTGTCGATGTACGGCAAGCTGTTGAACACATCCACCAGGATGGGACTCTTCGTGTACACAAAGAATTTGAAAAAAGCCTCTACATGATCGAAAAGCTCCGGGCTTTTCTTTACTTTGCGGAAGTACAAAATGAGGAACGTTTTATACCACGTTATGTCGAATTTAAGGAATGCGTAGCTGATGTTATTGGCACCGTTGGTGCTCACAAACGTAGAATAATAATCGATAACGCGCTTCAAATCGTTAAATCTTCTCTCTTTGTAGTATTTTTCTATCTGTGCCTGAAAATATCCGTTATACTCCGGGAAGGACATTTTTCTACTACTCAAGGATATCACAAGGAGCAGGTCCATCAGATCCTTTTGTTCGTCGTAGTCCAACGCCGTTTTTATCTTCTTTATAAGATCGTCCCTCACGAATTTGTGCAAGCTCTTGCAGATCTGCAATTTCGTATCTTCCTTGAAATATTTAATTCCGTTGGTCGTGAACAGCATGTGCAGAGCATTTGTGAGGTCTTGAATATCAGCGCTGTGCGAATACGAGTCATCTTCCCGATCAAAAAACACAAGGATGTCATCAACCGTCTTAACTGCCATAAACTCACGCGATATTTTCCCGTGTTCCAAGCCATGCACCATCTCGGATTTAAACACGAATCTCACGGCAATTGCCTTTACAATGCCGATGATTATCTGCGCAAACAGCTCCTCCCTTATCATCAGATAGTCTGCGGTTATTGTCTCCTTGATTTTGTTCAGCACTACTTCATCGCACAGCACGCCGATAGAAAACGCTTTTCTGAAGATAAAAACCATTTCTTCTTCCATGAGCTGCGAACCTGCCATGGCAGCGAACAACTCCTCAACAAAGTATGTCGTAAATCTGGCGTTCAGCACCTCACGGGTTGTGAGCAAATAATTTTCTATGATCTTCAGCTGCAACAGCAGATAATCGATTGCTATGTTTATAATCTTCGAGTCAATGCTCGTGTTGTTTATTATGCTATCGAGTGCAAGGTCATTCAAATCCTCCACAAAAATATCAACCACCTCACGCACCATGTTCACTTTTGTTGCCAATATGCCATCCAAGGCAGAGGTCTTCAACATTTGGTACTTAAAAGTGCTCGTCTTGCTGGAGAACACTTCAATCAAAATCTGCTTTATCATCTCAAAACGGGCATTCTCACCATATTCCGATGAATTCTCCGACACTATGTCCGAGCTTGTATCGGATGTATCATCTACCAAATGCCTATCTGGTAGTTCATCATGTGCCGAGACAGGTATCTCATCCGTGAGCATCACATCCTTTACTTCATCCAGCTTGGATAGATCACCAGCGTTTACTTTGCACTCGTTTGCCGTCTTAATCTCCTCCACAAGCTTTCCTAACATTCTTGCATCCTCATCGGTAAGGACAAACCTTTCTCCCTTAACCATACAGAACCAGATTTTTACAAACATGTTGTACAGATAGCTGTTGTATGACAGGTCATCCAGGTGACGGACCATAATTTTATAGGCTCTCCTTATACACGGTACCTTTTTAAAATCAAGGAGACACACTTCCCTAGTGCTGTGGTAGATGTCTGGTCTGCTAGCCATGTCAACTCAGGGTACGGTGAAAATCTTAATTAATACAAACTGCCATGTGAAATGAATTAATATGCATCGATAAAAAACTGCACGAACAGCCGAATAGTGGCAGTGAACGGAATGCGTATTTCTACAAAGAATATGGTAATACGGTGTAAGAATTCTGTTCTCATATGGTAGAAGCAGATATGGCATATTTTACTGAAAAACGTGCTTATCACGAGTGCATCACCGAGTGAGTCACCATACGGTAAAATATGTTAGCGTATGCAAATTAGTATTGGAGATAAAAAGGGAAGATAAAGCTTTTCGGTGCCATGACTTGGATAGAAATAGTGCTTTAGTCGATTATCTCTTTTACCAGGAGAAATATAAAACACAGTACCAAGCATGTTCCTTTGTGGTATGCGACAAGTGAGGTATTTTAATGAATAGGAATACCCGAAATACGTTTATGGCGTGGTAATACCTAGCCATTTATTCAAACAAAGCATTTCTGGATCAGAAAAATCGTTTTGTGGCTAAGTCTATCGACCGAGCTATCCGTTGGCAGTATCAGAGGGTTAATTACCAACAACCGTTGATGCAACATAGAAGTACAATCCATATAATATCATATTACAACATATGTTTATCTTATTCCTAAATAAACTTATCCTTTGTCTTAAGTACACACTTTACGGTTGTGATGATCACTTTGTTCTTATATCACAATATTGCCCTATAAACGATTGATTTGCCTTAATTTATTCAATACTACAAAAATTTTGACCGGTAAATTTTCAAAAATTCGCATCCCCAGAAGATGTTTGAGCTAAAAATTATCGATTCGGAAAAAGATGAAAACAGCCTACAGAATCGTACATCTTTGTTCAGAAAGATTGTGGAGAGCGCAGCCGACATTGTTGATGACGTTGATATCAAGCTTAACGATGAGGGCTTGAGCATGCAGTTCATGGATGCTATGAATGTTGCGATGATGGACGTTTTTCTGACCAAAACAATGTTCGATGAGTATAGATGCGATCGCAGCCTGACACTGGGACTCAAAATCAAGGAATTCTCAAAAATATTGAAGGGAATCAAATTGGACACTGGGACGACCTTTTACCTGCACTGCGATGACAGTCCAGACACACTCAACATGGTATTTGAGGGCGAGGCATACGTCTCCAACTACGATATGAAATTGCAAAACATTGGCAGCGAATGCTACGACATACCTCAGATTGATTTTACCGCTGAGGCAGAAATGAAATGTTCCGATTTCCTGTACATGAGAAAGGCGGTCGGAAACTTTTCAGAATATATTCAAATGAATGCTTGCAAGACGTGCATCAATTTCTCACAAAAAGGTGAAATAATCGACTCCAACATGAAATTCAAGGCACCTGAAACAGGAAAGTTTGACATGAAATTGAGCGTATGCGAGGATGTATTGGTGGAGATACCCATGAAGTACATTAACTGCATCACTAAAACGGCCGGTTTCTGTCAAGGAGTCAAAATTTGTCTTGGAAATAACGCGCCCGTGTTCTTCGAGTTTTTAATTGGCGAATACGGGCATATCAGGTATTACATTGCACCTAAAATATCTGATGAGTAATTTTATTAAAATTCTAGTGGTTTATACTTTGTAGTCCATCGATGATGGCAGCAACATATTCTTTCTGAATCACTAACTTTTTGTATAAAATAATAATTCGTGATATTTACGTGACAAAACGAGATTTATCCGATATAATTCGTACGGTCTGCTTATACTTAGGTCCTTAATTAGGCCTGAGGTGGAAGATAATAATTAAATTGCATGCCTGTTGCCTCAGAACAACAATGATAAAGGTGTAAATGATAAGGCCATTGATTTAACAGCACTTGTCATATAAAATATTGTTATGGATTACGCTCTTATGGTGCCTACAATCAAGGATAGCTCAGCATACTGCACTACGGTATATATGGCGTAGTTGACAGCATGTGTAATATTCACGTACAGCATAGTAAATGATAGCAGTGCCATACTGGTAGAAGATGCTGCCAATTTTATGTTCACGTACAGCATAGCAACTGATAGCAGTGCCATACTGGTAGAAGATGCTGCCAATTTTATGTTCCATCGCAGATTACAACTCACAACATGCTCACACATCAAGACAAAACAAATGTTTTACCTTTTTAATAAAGGAACTAGTCAAGTAGCGCAGTATGCGAACAGCTGTATTGATGCTATTCATCAAGGCAATTCTATGCATATTTACTGCACAGAGTAGTGGTCAAGCGGGTAATAATGTGTCATTCTTCGACATCAACTTCAAGAGCTTTTTAAATTACTTCCTCAGTGGACTGAAAAATTTAGCAAGGATCGGGAGAATTTTCAAATGGGATGAGGTATTTTACAAAGAACCTCAGAACGAAATGACCAGCTTCGCGATCTCCGATACAGAAAAGATGCTTTTTTACAAACTAGCGCTTTTATCTCAGCAGACGTATAGTGTTGAAGATTACTACGACGGTAAACTGAAGAAAGATTATGAAATGGCAGTACAGAAATATAAAAGGGCGAATGACATGGAGCAGACACCTAAAAATGGACGAAAATTTAGCATTTTTGAAGTGTTCTATACTAAAACAGAATTTGTGAAGAATTATCTAAAAGGAATAATTTTCACCGTTGATCGTACTACTGTGATAGCATACAAGGGAACTTCACCATCATTGCTTGGATATGGCAACAGCAGCTCGTCAAGTGACAAAGTTTTTGATAATATCGCGTTTGATTGTAATTTAAGCCCGGAAAGAGTGAAAAACCTTTTTTATTTGGAGGACGCACGGCAAATATACTTGGATGTGAAACGAAGATTCCCGAACAACAGGATAGTTTTGACGGGACACTCGATGGGCGCAGCAATAGCGAGTTCTGTTGGTTATATATACAACGAGTATGTCATTGGATTTGGAACGCCGGGTGATCACCAGATTATAAAGCGATTGCATCCATCTAAACAGAAAACACATGATAAAAAGAAACCTTCAGGTGTGATCGACAGTTTGTTTGCGAAAATTGGCCATAAAACCGTACATGTCAGTGATTGTAGGGATGTAATTTATAGGGGAGCGTGTAATGGGCAGGTAGATATTTGCAAGATATCAGGATATGACATTAAGACCAAGTGCCACACCGGTGTGACACTCTGTTTTGATAATGAAGGGTCTTTAAGTCTCTTAAAGCATACCATTTACAGTATTGTAGAGAAGTTAAAACAGGAGAAATTGTCGTTCTATAAAGTTGACGAGAGTGGATGTGGAAAAACTGAGTGTAAGGATAAATTGAAGGGAATATTTAAATAAAGCGCTTTTTAGCACCTATGCACATGTTTGAGAGTAACTGCCTTCCAGGATCAAATCCATTTGAACGGTAAGGTTGATTGATCTCCTGCTTTGATAGACACGGAATACATTTAAGCAACAAAGAACTCTTTCTAGGAAGATATTGAACGCTTATAATCGACACATTATTAGCAGTTAAAGGCATCCTTTCATGTAAAGTGAAATTATTGTTTATGGAGAAAACTTCTGTGCTGATCTCAGCGGACAGGTAAGTGCATTTTTAAAATGTAGTGGTGTGAGAAGATAAATAAACGTACTTAGAACAAACAAAAGCAAATATACTTGCTCAGTTTAAATATGAGAAGGTGAAACGTGACTGAAGCGCAGAGTAAATGCATCTATTCAGGCTTAATACAGGAATATTGGCTTTGAAAACAATGCTGTCATTGTAACAATACGATGTGGAATAAACACACGCCGATTATGTTCAAGCAGGCTGTTAAGCATGCCATGTCTTGGCGGTGTAATATTTAATCACTTTGAGGTTGCAGGATCATCTCATTACACGAGTGTGAGTTATAAACAAAGACATAATTCGTAATAAGTGTACGATCTGAGAGTTAATATGGAAAAAACACAAAGATAGGTATGTATCATACATTAAAATCATTGCTTGCTATTACTAACAAGTGAAGCACCTTGCTTAAATAAAAATTGCACCTGGGCACACTCTTGAAAGTATACCTGCATCTCAAATGAAGTATAAAAACAGTGCGAAAGCTTTGCTTTGATTATTTGTGATGGAAATGGTTGCATATTAAACGATATTGCTTAAAAATTGCATTCATATCTGAAAATCTTCTTACCTGTCTCCTAAGCTGTAAAACTAATTTATAATAAATATAATGCGTACCCTCGTTGTATAACTATGAAGTTACCTTTTGCTGGTACAAAAACTGCTCTGGAACAATATTTTATTCGTTTTTGGTACATAAGGGCGCATCCAACCATAAATTTTGTATAAGTAAACTACACTATGATTTATTTGGAATGAGCTTTAAAATTATTATACGATGAGCAAAATACAAATTTACAGTTCATTCTCATTTGATAACTCATCCAGCAGGTTATTAATGTTATTTTCATCATTCTCTACCAATTCTTTTGCGTGCTCTATCATATTGTTCAAACACTGCAGTAAGGCACTTTTTGTGCTCAACAAAAACGTGTTCTTTCCTCTGAAGCTGAACAGTAACCTTAGATCATTCGCGAGAGAGCCGTGCAGGTATACTGTTTCGTGCGAAAGGTACTGCGATATGACAGCCCTATATCTCCCAGAGAGCAGATCTATGAAGAACAAATCGTGGGGATTCTTCAGAAAGTCGCTTGGTGATCTCAAAATGTATTTGTGGTCAGGTACACACTTTTTATCGTGGTACCGCATTTGATTCGAGTTATAACCCGGAAAATGACTCATGTAGAACCCGCATTTGTAGCAAAACAGGTCCATATGTCCTGCTTTCAGGGAATAGGCAAAAAACCCCTTTTCTGCGAGTTTCCTTATCCTTGCGTGTGGCATTTTCAATCCATCAAACGTGAGCAATCTCTGGCTAGCATCGTGTAACTGGTACAGCGGACAGTTATTGTGTCTTTTTAAGTGTTCTACAAATGGTATATCGTCATCCATCCAGTAACTCAGTGTTTTGTCGCACAAGTAACACGTGGTCGTCATGTAATTCTCTGAACTGGACATAAAAAGGCCACACAGTGCAAACTCTAAGAAACTCGTTTTTTTTGAATTTGCTTTGCTTTCTTTGTAGGTGTCCAACCGGGATTCAAGCGAAAAACATGACATTGTTCAGGGGTCACAAAATTTATACAGGAAAATGGGGTGGTGCTTGTTTAGAAAGTTTGCGCCAAGCCGTATGATCTGCACATAGATAGGAAAGGACAAGAACACATTTAAATAATTGCGCGCTCATGTCGGATCCCTTTCATCATAAAAATGTGCTTCTATCAACCAATAATGCATTCGTATTACAAGTGTGAAGAATGGTTATTTAAATTATCACATTCTCATACCATTATTTAGTGATGTATTCTCTCTTAGGTAATCACAATTGCTAACCGTGCCAATTTTGGCAGTGTGGTGCGTTTACTTACCTGTGAAGTAAGATCATCGAAAGAATGCAACAGTATTGTACTAGTACTCTAGCCTTGCAGCGTGCTATAAACTTGTAAGTCACGATTCCATGATTCTTCACCTGTAAAGTTGACAGTTGATGGCCAATAAATTTTAATACACAGGATTGTTTTGGTGTATGAAAGCACGGCGAATACGCCTAATTTTACATTATTTCCAATTTTGATTGCTACACGCCCAAAGAACAGTTTAAGAAAGCATTAAAATTGTAAGTTTTTACGGAAAGTTTGTGTGATAACAGGTCAGCTCAATAATCCGCGGTTCAGGACATCTTACTTTATTTAGTATAGGATTTGTACATATTTATGAGGTTCTTAGTACTAGCATCTACATCATTCGGCTCGTTGTCGATGTGACTAAGAACTTCCTTTGCCAGCTTCTTTCCCAGTTCTACGCCAAACTGATCAAACGAATTGATGCACCAATATAAGCCTTGCACAAATATTTTGTGCTCATAGAATGCGATGAGCGCACCAAGAACAGCTGGTGTTAGCTTCGTGTAGCATATCGTTATTGACGGTCTATTGCCACCAAAGTATTTGTGGTTGTTGGATGTTTCGGTACCGACCATCAAAGCCTGTGACTGAGCGACACCATTTGCAAATAGCATTTCAAAATGCGAGTGGTCCATCACCTTTTGGTCGTTCAGCGGCTGCAGCGGCAGAAGAATCTCGACCAGTACTCGTCGTGTTCCCTGGTGCAGTAGCTGGAAGAAGGAATGTTGTGCACTGGTGCCCACACTACCCCATATGATCATACCCGTGTTCCACGATACCGATCCTGAGAAGGTGGCCATTTTTCCGTTGCTCTCCATCTCGGCCTGCTGCAAATACGAATATAAATCCTTGAGATATTCGTCATACGCAACGATGCATTTGCTGTCGTATTTCCTAAAATTGGTGTAGTAAATTTCTATCAATGCCTGCATTATGGGCACGTTCTTTTCAGTCATTGTGTTTTCGAAATGCTCATCCATGACCGATGCTCCCTTCAACAAGCTCAAGAAATTCGTGAAACCTATGTAAAGCACGATGGATAGTCCAACAGCTGACCACAGCGAAAAGCGCCCGCCCACAAAGTCCCACATGTCAAAGCTGTTCTTTATTCCGAATTTTTCGACCTCGTCTTTGTTAGCACTCACCGCAACAAAATGCTTGTTGGCAATCTCTCGCTTATCCACATTCAGGCGTTCCTCCATCAGTTTCAAGGCCAATGTTGCATTTGCAAGTGTCTCCAACGTTGTAAACGTCTTACTAACCACGATAAACAGCGTTTCCTCCGGATCTATTTCCTTGAACACGCGTTCTGTCCCTGTAGAATCGATGTTTGAGATGTAAAACACCTTTACGCCGTCTTTTTTGTAGAAATCCAGTGCATCTGTAACCATCCGCGGACCAAGGTCGCTGCCCCCTATTCCGATGTTCACCACATTGCGCAATCTTTTACCCGTAACACCCGTTATTTCTCCTTTCTGGAACTTTTTCTCGAACTCGCGCATTTTTTTGAGCTCACGGAACACGAGCTGCTCCTCTTCACACAGATTTCTGCCGTCACTATTCCTTTCCACCGCCTCAAGTACCTTCTTATTCCTCAACGCGATGTGCAGTACCTTTCTGTGCTCTGTAAAGTTAATCTCCTCCTTGTTGAACATTCCCTTTATTCCCTTGTAATTCTTGAAGTTACGTTTGAGCTCGTACAAAAGCATCGTGTCTATGTGTGTCTTTGTGTAATCAAAGTGCAGGGCCTCGTCACCCACTTCAACCTTCAGAATGAATTTTTCTGTTCTGTGCGGATCGTTCTGGAACAACTCAAGCAACGTGATCATATTTTTATCCACCATGTCTCAAAAAATTTTTGTGTCTTTAAATGCTTTTGTAACAAATAATATTTGATGATTACAAGAACGTGCTATCACACATCAATGAAATGATTTGTTAAATATGAAAGATTGATTCGTGAGTGCACAGGACTATTCATAGTAGCATATCGAACTACGTTGTAGGAATGAACCAGCGAGCACCTAGAGAACGCAACTAGCTGTAATGTTACCAATTGCACGTATCGATTAGGCACGAATAGTGCCTGTTGGACCGGGTATAGGTGCCATAACCAATACTTTGCCCATGATCGATGCCTAAAACAGCGGTACCGGCATGTGTTAGAGCCACGCTGTCAAGAAACCGCAGTATTGTTCCACTGCTACGATGAATACAAAGAAGTGGTGTTGCCAGCGAAACACGTAAAACTTTTCTTATGTGCGGTCTTCACCTCAGAATACATATTTTACACAAAAATTTATCCAAGTATAAAACAGAGATGATCTGCTGAAAGGCACTTGGTCCATAATTTATTCACGAACGGTTCAGTTTGCCGATAAGAAAACGGATCAGAGGGACATCCCGCTATAAAAACGGCAAAACATCAAAATAACATAAAATAAACAATTAATATACGATTTGCAGCGAAGTGCGAGCTAAGAATGTTCCATCAAATATGCAGATCACAGTTTATGGCTGTTTTTACCATTTGCATGGTGCGGTGTTGCACATAGGCAAAATACTGCTCCATTAAACGAGAGCGGTACGGTCTAGCAGTGTTGTATTGCAAATATTGCAATTTAAAATGTCCTTCAGAACGTTATTATCGATTAAAAAACAATTTAACTCAGCTTTAACATGAGGGAGTAACAATCCTTTTAATTACTACCACAATATACGAGTAGCATTGCTGCTATCAGCACGTGTTAAATTTGTTGAGTAGCACATCACCAATATTGGGCATAAATAAAGGCTCATTATACGGCATCGTATTGGCTGAAAAATTGATGCATCATTTAGCGAGAATGACACAAAAGACGTGATTAATAGATCAAAATTGGCAAATTTATGGCACAAGCAGACGATTTTGCAGATGAGAACGAAATACATGCAGTGATACTCAGAATGCACTCACAAGCCTTTCCTCTGGGAGCGTTTACACTTACAACAGCAGACCTAGAATCGGAAACAGCACGGTTTGGCACTTTGTTACCAAACGGTTCAACAGCACTTATCGAATGATGAAATACTAATTGGCTTTGATCTACAAAACTGGCGAGTTCTTCAACGAAAATAACAGCATGCCAGCTGCAAGCAACACTCGTGTTATTAAATGAACATACCAACCTTAAGCTACCGATGGAGATGGTGCTGTCAAGAACATGAGGTGCGACAGAATTATACTTTACCAGAATTTGCGCAATGCAAACTTTTGACAGAAGAGTCAACATGAATTGCTTTTCCCACGTCTGCAAATACCGACAGGACAGGAAGTAAGATACAACTGATAATCACGTTCAAATATGACATACACAGACACATAACACGGGCACAAGCACGAGGAGGAGCTCTTTACGCGATCATCAGAGCTGCAATCTCACCACCAATAGCATGGAACAAACTATTCTGTACGCGATAGCAAAATAAATAACAGATGCAAATACAAAAAGTTATCGTTAGAATGTTTTATACTCACTCAAATTATACACATGGTTTTACAAATACTCTGTTCAGTATCAAAGTAAGTGTTGATAGGGAGAGGTGTTGAGTCTTATTGGATACATGAGCAGAACTTTCATCGATCTATGCTGTGCATCTTACAAAAGGATTCGTCAGCTATGTTAGTAAGGCCTATGAGAAGAGCAACACGTGGCAGCATAACAGACATGCATATCAAGTATTTGGCGGTCATGCGATATTTTGCTCATTTATGACCGGTACGGTGTCAAGGTATGCAATACCTGGTACCGATCTTATGATTACAGATTTGCATGCTTTATGATACGCTGCAATGAATGACTGAAAAGATGGGAAATAGGCGATAAAAAGAATAAAAAACCTTTTACCTCCCAACACTGCATCGTTGATCAAATTCTCTCTGAAAATGCTTCAAAGTCTTAAAATAAGGAATGATAAATACGAAATGCGCTGAAAACACGATTCACAGGTACATCGTACAGCTCTTGTCAGAATCGAAAATGTTGGCCTGATTTTCTTTTTTAGATAAAATGCTGCCGCTTTTACTGAGTGGAACGGAAAGAAAAAGCAAAGAGAGCCACTCTAACGATTAATAATCTATTTTACGGCGGCATCAAACAGTGCTATCCATACTTAGAAATGTTAAGTTGCCTGTGTTGAACATAAAAAGAATTTTAATCTGTTTTGAACTGTAAGCCAACCAACGGATCATAAATGGAACAGAACTCGCTACACGAGCAGTATCTGAAGAAATTATGAAAACTGGCAAGGTTTTACTGAGAAATCCTTCGAAAAAGGTGGTTCTACATTAGTTTATTGGTAAATTAAAGAAAAAATGGAATCTGGCACTTACAATCGATGAAGAGTTTTTCTCGTTCATATGTTATCATCGGTAGGTATTTACGTATACGGGCAAAAAATACGTTTTAAACCTAGTTTTTCAAACAAAGAAGGAAGGTATCGTGCTGTGTAAGTGATGCATGTTATTAGAGCGCGTTAACTACCACAAATATCCTAATATAATGCTAAAAAACAACGGAACGTTTTACAACAGTTACTAAGATCAGTGGTCGTACTGTGCGTGGTTCTGATAGTATCTTGCCGCATTTCTCACTTTTTTGCTTCATCACCGTTAAATTTGCTCATTTATGTTCAGATCGGCGAAATGAGCATCAAATTGCAAATCTTTGGCCCAGTAATAATCAAAAAGCCGCCACACAAAAAAGGTAACGTAGATAGACAGCAGAATATCCACTGTATAATGATAACGAGACAATAGTATTCCTGCAAGACCAAGCACGTACAGACCAAAGATGGTTGCTACCGATATTTTGTAAAGAGCTCGGCTGTTAAAAAATGGATAATCGTACCACACCAGAAAGACCGTGGTAAAGGAAATGGTATGACCACTGAACAGCAGGTCACCGCAGCGCCCAAACCGCGATTCTGTTAAAATGTTGGTCGCCACTTTAAAACAGTTCATGTTCGGATCGGGCAGATTTGTTGCAGCCAGCAGTGTTAATCGTATGCCATACGATATGAATGTGCAGGTAAATGTCTTGAAATAGATCAACAGAGCATCTTTTCTCCGGAGAACGACCAGAATGCAAATGGTGATGTAACCGGTTAGGAAGTTATCAACGTATGTGTGAAGATTATATGCTGGAAAGTATTCAAAGAATATATCAGGCAGTGGATCGGTTGTTTTGTTGCTAATTGACCAGTACGATGCTATGTTGGACATTACTACGGACAGATAGGCAAAGACCAAAAGAATAGAAAGGCTAATGCCCACCACTAGCGCGCTTCGCTTTGTTAAATTGTAACGTTCTTTTATATGTTGTAGTAAAGGCATCCCCTGTTGTGGGCTGCTAATTAAATGCGAGTTTCATAGCAAATTTGTGACAGATCACATCAAAAAAAAAACAAAAGTTGAATCAAAGAAGAAGTAAACGATTCAAAGAGCACAGGGAGTCACAAATAGTAGTAAATAAGCTTATAACAACAATTTGAGAACATACTATGGTTGTAAAGTGTCCCTTTATTTCAAAATTATTGGTTCTCTACATATAACCAAATTTGGAAAAATGTTTGATTAAACTTTTCTTAAGGATCACGAGATATTGGAGAAACAAGCAAAGGCATCTGATGACTGACACGTATTTAAAACGTAAGATAATCTTATCGGGTACTTTAATGAATTTGTGGTACGTTTCTATATGCAAGGCGCAGCAACCTGGACCAATCGTTTCTTACCGCACAAGCACAGCAAATTTATCGTTTAAATGAGAAGATATGGTCGGAATGTGTGAGCCATGAGGGGTAAATCCGTGAGAACAGGACATGAAGTGCTGGTTTGTACATAATAGTGCTGTGTGAAAGAGCAGAAAATACCAACAAAGAAAAACGAACTGTACTCGCTGCTTGTGAGTGAATGTATGCGTAGTGCAAAACTTACACTGCTATACAGGCATTAAAAAATATAAATTGCTAAAAATGTTCGGTGGTCATTCGCAGCACACCACAGATAAAACACAAAACTACAAAAGTTAAAGTGAACTTTTTTATAATTTACAATACTTGCGCACCAACTTGTCTGAGCAGTACGATGTAGTATATTTTTAAAAATAAATTATTAATAATGAATGGGTATATTGGCTGGTCATTGATTTTAACTAATTTGGATTGAAAAGGAGCTTGACAAAAGGGTTAATGCTCTGCTACTAAAGCAAGTTGCCGTTCAGATAACGCTAATATGCTGTGTAATATCCGTTTTTGTTGTTATTCCGGGATATCAAAGTTCAAACGTTATTGAACCGGAGGTAGAGGTGTTCGCTCAGGATATCAGAGTCAATTCCTAGTTCAAAGCAATTAGTCATTCTATAAGTGTAAATTTAAGCAACTATGAGTACAATAACGAATTATTGTACGCTTCACAACGACACAAACTGTCAATAATACTTCGTTTTACCTATTTTAGTTTAATTTCAAATATATTTTATTTTACTACTGTATCGGAACAAAGATGTACATTTTACCTCTTAATAGACTGGTTTAATACGATTTGTTCATTCCTCATCCTCTTTATCCAACGCTTTACCACCAACATACACAATTTGTGATCAGTTCGCACTCATCGAATTAATCACTGAATAATGTTCTACTCAGCATCATTCTCCGTATCACACACCGTATTTTGTGCAGATACGGATAAAGGCGCGAACATGTGGTTGATCAAAGAACACCACTGAACAAAAAAATGGCACTCTTGCAAACGCTAAGCACAAGGATGTAAAACGAATTTATGATCGATGTTAAGACAGATTAAACATTTTCTCTGGTACAGGGAGAGTCTTTGCAAGATATTATTACCTCATTTTTCACTCCAAGCTAGATTAAATTAACATACTGCCATACGAACACCTACATGTTTTGATTTTAGGTTCTTACACAAATGTGCACATGAAAAATATATTAACTCGATAAAACTAACCGATTTGCACAGTACTTGCCAAGCATGGTTGTATGAAGTATATCAAATTTATTCCGTTATCGAAAAGAATACGTTCTTTGATGCTGTTTTTAGGATGCTCCGATCATCTTTGCTGTTTGAGGAGAATACTCCCGTTTACACCACCACAAGGAGACAGCCGTTCTAGCACTGTTAATACGAATGATAGCACATTTTGTACAAAACGTTGTTCTAAAGATAGCAAAATGATTTTAATAACATTTAAATTCTTTTTTACATTTAATTATTGTTCAAACACGTTATCAAAGTATGAAAAGTTCAAAAAATTGGCACCATTTCTACACACACTCACAAATATTTACATAAAACTATTGCACACTGGCTGTCCAACTTCGTGTAATAATCCTTTTCGATTTTGACCACCCGATAGCTCCATTTCAAATAAAATCTGCTCGCCACCATGTTTTTAAGCTGTACATGCAGGTAAATCCTTTCAACACGCTCACCACGCACCATATTCTCTACAAAACTGAGTATCTGCGACCCGAGTCCGTGCGACCGATACTCATTAACGACACCAAGAGTCATCAGATAGCATCGTTTTTTGACGTGGCACAGATCGTATGATGCCTCACCTATGTATTCATTGTTATATATAAACAGGAATGAATGCTTATCTTTGTTGGTTAACAGGTCTTGGTAGTATTCATTCTTATATTTTATGGGAAATATTTTTAAGTCTAGGTGTTTCAAAATTTCTATGTTTTTAGAGCTCACACAAATTGGCTTTATTATCGATTTGGGAACCAAATTTCGTGCGTGTACCATCAATTAAGGGTAATGTAATTGCCAAAATCGATTAAATGTGCCGGCCAGTAATTACCGAACAAAACGAAATTGCACGTGATTGCTGCGCAAAAACCATGTCTCTCAAAATTTTGGTCCTGCACTTGTCAAATATGTATCGTTTTATCGTATTTATCAAGGATATCACTCTTTTATAGTCACTATAAGAAGGACACAATCCCTAAATTAGAGATAAAATGTGGTATTACCGCATTGCAATAGTGCCTGCGTATGAGCTGGGGCAACACGGCAAATTCATTGTATACAATTAACACTTATCGTTGACGAATGATAGCTAAACACGAGCACACAATAATCCTCATATCACCATTTACATACTTTCCTTATCAGAACAAAAAGAGCATATACACCGTATATGGCGTGAAAATGGCCAAAGTATTTATCACCGTTCTAACGACTCAACACCTTATAAAGAGAACTTCTCACCACAGGTGCTGTTCACAATTTTATAACTACTCGATAAGAAAGTATTACTTAAAATAAGTTATTAAACCCTAACACGGCTCCTTCATTTGAGCCACATAGTGTGATCTACAGTATAATTTGTACAAATCGGTATTTTATACCGATACGGGTTTTTGTTGCATTTCTACACGGCTGTGCCATAAAAAACTTTGAAAAAGATTTTGAAAAAAATTTGCCTTATAAAACAAATACGAGGCAGAAGTGCAGCATTCAACCAATAACACGCGTTTTGTGCTGAAATTCAAATCTTACGATGGTAGTACAGCAAGGCACGGATAGCAAAACATGCCAATCGTATCCTGAAATAACAATTCATAGGCGAACATAAGTGTGCTGAATTCACTTACCATTTCGTATAATCGTAATGTTAAATTATATTGAGCATCGCCGTGAATGACAAGAGCTATCCACCCACTATATTACTGTTAAGGAATGTAGTTATGTTTTATTACTTTGCATCCCTTAAGGTTACACTATTCTCATTTTTTAGCACTTTTGACATACATGGCATCACAGGCCTTGTGCAAGTATTCCATGATAATCACATATCATCGTTCATCAAACCAATAATAAATGTGAAGAATCATTTTTTCTGCATTTCAACCAATCCTACACTCGAGCTTAGAGCATTTATTAATCGTTAAAAAACTTTTAATTAATTTCCGTATACATTCACCAATACACCACAGAACCTTCAAATATACTTATCGCACCATCCTGATCGTAAATCTACGTATTTCAGTACTGATCGTTCATATGGTTCATCAAATACACAACATGATCAATCTTTAACATATTTGGCAATAATACGTGCCTTTATAGCATACATACGAAAACGTGTTGGTTCACCAAACGGGCAAAAATTCTAAACAGGCACTGTCCATAATTGAATGGTTATATCGCTGATATTCTTTGCTTGTCAACATATCTCAGCAATATTTACACATTAAACCGCAACTATTACCTACGCTATTTTCCTACCCCAATCGTTCAACGAATTATATTTCTCATCCACACCACGCAATCACAGTGCCGTATCATCGCTTAAAACATCGTTCGTATCGGCATTGTGACCAAAACACCGTTACCATCATGCCTATACGATAGCACAAAGCATCGCACTCATTGTTTACATCTCATTACCATTCTCTGCTTCACAATGCATGTATTACCGTGATTTGAAAGCACGATAAGCATATTTTATTCCATTCTACTCCGCAATACTTCGTTTTGCTCTTTTTGCCGTTTAATGCTCGATCAAACACTTACATACCATGGTGCGGTTCTTTTATCTTTGCAGTTGATCAAATACGTACACCATTACACTGTAAATTAAATTTACTCTTCACCACGATATCTTTCCGCATCATATCGTACGTGCTAAGACCAATAATTCATCGTACAAGCATTTAACAACGTACCATCCTTAAATAACCGTACCAATCTTTCATCCTGCTGCGTTGCAAACAATAATACATCGTATTAGAGCACGTTATGTGCTATTACTGCTGTCGTATACCCTAAACATGGTACCTCATCAAATATCTTATGTATACCATC